TTAATTTATAAAATGAATGCATATAATATATAGTTTGGCCCTGCATGTGTTATATTAAAATTAAAATGTTATTTAATTCTAAATTATAGCATTAATATGCCTGCAAGCAGCATAGATTGCATGCAGATAAAGCACATCAACAACTGGTTGGCTAAAAATCCATGCATATGACAGAATGTCAAATCTGAATAGTTGAAATTAACTACTCAAGTTAACATTTGGGCGGGGATGAAACACATCGGTTTTTTTCTACATATTTTTCTCCATATTTTAGGATGAGGCTGGACCCAGCCATAAAGAAGAATGAGGCATCTACCAGACAGAGAAGATGTTTAGGAACAGAGAGACATGTATGCTACATAGCTTGTGCTGCACCTTTGAAGCTAGTTTGCTGCTTTTATATGCAGTGGAGGACATTGTCCCATTGTGAATAGGGAAATAAGATTAAGCTGCCAGTTGCCATCTGGTCTTTTACACTTATGTTAGGCAGCAAAACTGCTTTGGCAGTTCATGGGCATCACAATATCTGTCCAGAATACTGGTGCTGTTTGGATGGGAATACTTTGGTCCTATCAGAAAATGCTGGGAACGAACCCTTGGCCTTGTGCATATGTGCTTGACCATTAAAAAGTCACATTTAGGTTTCACTTTTGATTCATGGTAATATTTCATGTCACAGCATTTATAGAAACACCATCCCAAAATGGATTATTTGAACATTTTATGGGAAATGATATATAAGGTTTGGGATAAAATTTCTAGATCTCAAGGCTTGTTTCTGTTTCTCCAGTTTTCATGAGACATCTCCAGGTGGGAGATGAGGGTGTAAATTCTTCAGTTTTGGTGAGCTCAGCTCCAAGGAAGAAGAAAGGGCTATGTACAAATCTCTAGCTTAACTAGTAGAGCAGCTGCTTGCTGCAATTTGCAAGGCTTAGCTGATTTGTTGCTGCAACTTGAACAGCTTCTCTAGGGTTATGGACTTGAAGTCCACAATCCTCGATTATCTGCGAGGGACGAACGGAGGGGCATAAAATTAGAAGTGCGCCTGCTCGCCCCTACAGACACACACCTCCATTCAGACCAATAGGGCTTGAATATTTTTGTTTTTCTTTTTTCACGGAGGGGCCGGAACAGGTTCCAAGTGAAAAAAGAAGGGAGACTGTACTTTCTCTGCCAATCATTATGGCACCAGGGCTCACCCTCCACTCTGCTCTGTTTCCACTTCTGGCTAGAAGCAAGTAGCCTATAGTAAATGTTCCTTATCATATCTCCCTATGTAAGTGAGAATAAATAATCTCCTCACTCTGCCTTCATCTGGAAGTAGCCTCTTTAATTAAGATTTTGTTCTTAATTTCCATGCAGGAAAATATGGTCTCTCTCTCTCTCTCTCTCTCTCCTTAATATAAACAATAGGATGAAAAAAGTTAATGTTGAAAATTAGAGAAGCTGAAATTGGCAGATTCACCAGTTTGTAATACATGTTTTCCATCAAAATGACACACTATTTATTTCTAAATGGAATAATACTCACAGTGGACTTAAATGTGTCTGGCAACATAGAATACCTGATTAGTGTTCATTTTATTAATGAAGTGCAAAATATTTGCATTCTTCATGTGATAAAGTATATATCTTTTGCCTTCTACTTCAAAGATTTTGATATGGTGAAATATGTAGGTTGACAAGGCAGCAGAATATTATTATGTAAATTTTGGACAGGTAAACATGACAGTATGGCTAGTGAATTTAGGCACTGTACAACAGAAGGAATTGGACCAGAAGCATATTTGTATTAGGATTTGTGCTAGAGGGATACATAAAATTTTAAAGGAACATGTTTTTTCCACTTTTGGTTTGATCTCCAGAGATATATGTGAAAGTTATTGTACAAGGAGGAAAAAATAAGTATATCCACCATGCTGTTTTAGTCATGGCTATCCCACACTCTTTGTTCCCTGCTTGCCAGTCTATATGGGATACAGAAAAATACCAGATACATTTACTGCTTCTGTTCCTTTCTGTCTGCAGCTGTGATCAAAGAAAGCTTTTCTGGCCACACAAACCAAAGCATAATGTCGCCCTATGAAATATGAAACTTCCCTGGAATGGCAATTTCACATGGAGATTCTTCTTAAGGTATTATGAGCTGATCTAGTGAAAGTTGATATTTAAACTCATCTTAAGGCAAGCTCTTGAATTTTCACTTTTATTTTTGGCTCCTAATTTGAACACTAACCTCTTCTATTAACGTATCAAGAATGTGAGTAGTGGCTACTCAGATTAACTATAATAAAAATCATTAAAACAAAGTTTAAACAATCTTGGTTAAAAAGATGAGAAAAAGTAAGTATGTTTTACCAAGGCAAAGGAAATTTAATTTTACTTTAGCAAATAATTTCCTAGGATGAGGGTTTGCTAACACAGAAATGTCTTGCACACATCTTTCTTACAGTCAAGATCATCTTAGTACTTACTAAGCATAAATGCAAAACAATTGATGTGTATTTTGACAGATAAAACATATTATTTGATTCTACAGAAAAGCCTGTTGACTGAGGACAGCAGTAGAATAGGGCTTTTTCAGACTCAGAGGCAGAATGGTGTAGTTGTTTGAGTGTTAGACTGGACTCTGGTGGACATGGGTCTGAATCTCTGCTCAGCCATGAAAACCCACTGGGTCACCTTGGGCAAGTCACACTCTCTCAGTCTAATAGAAGGTCAATTACAAACCTCCTCTGAATAAATCTTGCCAAGAAAATCTCATTATATGTTCACATTAGGGTTACTGTAAGTTGGAGTTAACTTAAAGGCCAACAACAACAACATTTCAGTCTGAGTAAACAAAATGGCATACAACAAGCATCAAGCTGCATGGGATTTTGTTGAACAATTGGATTTTGACCTGTTGTCTGAAAGAATGATGATACTTGCATGATGCCGCTTCACAGTTTGGATTTTTAATGATCAGCTGCAGCACATGATGCTTCCTTATCTGAAGTCTGGCTATTGCTCAATCCAGCCAAATAATTTCTACTGTGATTGGGAAAGAAAGGGGTATATCCTTACCCTGTCCATTTGTTTTTAATCCAGAGATGTAGCATCCCAATCATGCACTTTGTTATTGAGTTGTAGCCTTTCACACATAGCTGGCAAGTCCCAGACAAGAAAAAAGAAAACTGTAGCATCTACAAGCGTTTTGACTATCTGGCTTTCTCTAGTGGGTTTAGTGCTGCTGCTATCCTCTAGCTCCACTGACTGATCAAAATTAGGAACTGGTACTGTCAAGAAATAAACTGTTACATGGCTTACCCTATGCAGACATCCTATCTGAATTTCGTTTGCATTGTAATCATTTTCTTTGTGGAAAATGCACAATCCATTTTTGTTTTTTGTTGCAGCCTTAGGAAACAAGGAAGTGAAATGGCACAGCACAGATTTTATTATTGTGAAATGGATTTGCCTTGGATACAATGGTTTCCTATTTCAGAGTAAATCATGCAGGAATGAAGAAATGCTGTGATGGTGATCCCCCTTGAGAATGAATGAGTTTTTACATATATGACATCGTGGCTGGAAGCCAGCTGTTAAACCTCTGAAGATGGCCACAGATGATTGCTTTTGAGCAACCTCATTCATATGAATCCCTCTGTGATTTAAAGTGAGGCTCCAGGAATGAAACATGGATTTCCTCCCCTTCACCTGATATTTTTCTCTAAATAAATGGGCAGCTTGTAGATCTATAATTCAACATTGGGAGCAGTTAACAGAGTATAGTCCAGCAAATGCTTTGCATGCATAAAGTCCCAGAGGTAAATCCCTGGCATCTTTTGAATTGTTCGTTGAAATTTTAGAAGAAGGGAAATAATGTAAAACTATTGCTTAAAACGCAAATGCAGTCTATAAATACTTGATTTAATTTGAACCATATACATGAATGATCCACAAGAGAAACACATGTTCAGATATTTGTCTCTTTACCTGTGGTTAAATGAATAAATGAAGAAATATTTTTTCATCAGCTCTGCATTTTTGACATGCATTGTGATCCTATGAGAACTTTTTCAGATGTAAGGATTTTATCACAAAGGAGGGATCCTGGGCAAAAACAGGATTTAAACCGAAAAAACCCACAAAAGCAGATTGATTTTCAGTCGAAATCAGGGTTAATGAGCATTAATGCAACATTAACCCAGACAAAAAGTTAACAAAACACGCTGCTTTTTACTTTCGGAAAATCCCAAAAGTAAAAAGCAGCACGTTTTGTCAATTCTCTGTCCAGGTTAATGTTGCATTAATGCTTATTAACCCCAATGTATTTGAAAATTAACCCGGTTTTGCAGGTTTCCCTCAGGTTTTAAATCCTGTTTCTTCATGCGATTTGGGCACTTTGCCTTCCATGTGATAAACTCCTAAGTCCCATTGCATTTAGCAAATTGTTCTTAGGATTCAAGCTTTAATTTGGTGGCTACAGTGAATGGTGAACACATTATTGTCCCTCTGATTGGGTGATTTTAGAGGCACCTATTTTTTTTATGTGGTGAGT